CACAATTCAATCAGACTGTGGCTGACAGGGAAGGAAGCTGGGCCTCCTATATATGCTTGCATATATAAGGAACAAAGAATATGGGAAGAGGGAGCAACAAGAAAGGGTCCTCGGCCCCCAATCCTGAGAAAGAGGCAATAGCAGACAGCACCAATAGATATAAAGCGCTATCTCCAGAGCCTCATAGACAAGTTCAGGAATGAAGTTATTAATGACCTGAAGCTAGACATAAGCAGAATAGTTAGAGAAATGCTAAGCACCACCCAAGAAAAAACAGATGGTGGAATGGAAGAACAGAAAAAGAGGGGAGAATTGTTTAATGGAGAAAATACAGAAAGCATAGAATACATGAAGCAGGTTCAAAGAGATTACCAGGAAACTAAAAAGTCTATCGAAAACTGGCATAACAGCTTGAAAGAAACTAAGGACAGATTATCTGAACTGGAGGGCAGATTTGTAATATGGGAGCATGAAATGAAAAACTTCTTAAAAATAACAAAAAAAACAAACAGCAATAATACAAAGACTAGAAGATGATAAGAGGGTCTATAACTTAAGAATTAAGAACATAAAAGAAGAAGTAGGGACACAAACAAGTGAACTACAAAAGCTACTCACAGAAATAATCCAGGAGAATTTTCCTAATTTAGCAAAAGGTAAAGATACTCAGTTGTATGAAGCATACAGAACCCCAGCCACCTACAACCCAAACAGAGCAACACCCAGGCATATAATAATTAAAATTCCAGAAATCCAATACAAGAACAGAATACTAAAAGCCATCAGAGACAAGAAACAGATCACTTACAAGGGAACACCCATCAGAATTACAGCAGACTTCTCAGCACAAACCATCAAATCACAAAGAGCGTGGGGGGAAATAATTCAAGCTTTGAAAGATAATAATCTCCAGCCAAGATTGATATATCCTGCACAACTATCCCTGGAAATTGATGGAAAAACAAGGTGCTTCCAGGATAAAGAGGAACTAGGGGAATATGCAACCACCAGTTCAACTCTACAGAGAATACTGCAAGATATTCTAAAAAAGAAAAATACGAAGAATCCAGAAGTAGCGGCAGAGAGGCCACAATGAATGGAGCAGAAAACAAAATGAAGAAGACAAACTGACAACTAATGACAGAAAAAGAGCTCAACAGAAATGAGGCAGAGAAGACTGGATGATAGGAACAGCTATTTTGGAGAAAATGACGGCTTAAGAGATAATACTGATTTAGTATCATCTTGTTTTGAAGTCTCATCAAGCTTTTGTTCTTCTGTCTCCATTGGTCTAAACAGGTTGTATCTTATTGGATTTTATTATATATGATAGTATAAGCAAAATCTTCTATAGACAAGGAGATTATACAGAAACCATTGTTCATTTTCTGTTAGTTGATTCTAAATACCCTGTAATGCTGTCATTCTCTTAAATAGTTTTACATTGTTTTGATATATTTGATGCTACAGTATACAAAGTTATACTCAAAGATTTCAAGGAAAGAGACAAGATGGTAACTACTTTTATGTCAGGATAATCTTGTGGTGAAACACTATTTTGCTTAAATGGTTATGTTTTGATCTGCGCTGTTTTGCTGTTATGCCCTCTTCTATCTCAATTTCCATTTTATTATTTACTTTTTTATCTTTACCCTTTTAATTAAGGGAAAATAAATTTAAAAATAGCAGGATATATTATAGTAGCCCACTTTGACTTTCCATTATCTCGATTTAAAGCCCTATATTGCTCTCACCATCTTGTTTTGACTGATGTTCCTCTATTCTGTTTTGCTTGATAGTACCAGGTTTGAGAGTTTAGGCAACAGCTGTGAAGATAGTGGGATTCATTATGACGCCCATTCTGGTTGACTATTATCTACTTTTGAAGACTATAATGTCTCCAATGTTTTGGTTTTGTTGGTTTTGTTCTTTACTGTTTTGTTCAATTTTATTATAACTGATGATATAGGCAATTCTATTAGAGATAGCAGGAGGCATTATGGTAATCATTGTTGATCACCTAGTATTATGCTTTTACATTATCTATTATGTCCACCCTTTTGATTTGACTGACTCTGTTCTGTTATGTCACATTTGGTTCTACTCTCTTCCAAAAAAGTAATAAGAACTGTGGGAGTAACAAAACCCAAAATGTGTAATTGTCATTGTACAAAAGAGAGGAAAAGAAAGTGCTCTAAATGATATAACTGCATGTATATTTAAGTGTATAAGATAGATAATGATATTACTGAGTTTTGTTGGATCATTGAACAGAACTGTTTGCAGTCCCACTGTTGGAATGTGCAATTTATAAGCTTTAATTTTGTAACTTGAACAATTATTTCTAAGATGACAAAATGTAATCAATTAACTAGTGATTTCCTACTGTTTATTTTTTTCTGTAAATCTGTATAACTTGTACCCTTTCTCTGCTTTTTTTTTCTTTTTCTCCTTAAATAAAATTTTTTAAAAATGGGAAAAAATAAATTAGACTTAATCAATATAGAAACTTCTGATTTAAGAAAATGACAAGCCACAAATTGGGAGAAAATATTTTCAAGTGATGTATTCCTGATAAGGAACTTCTCTATAGAAGGTATAAAGAGTATTCAAAGTTGGGTAATATGAAAAAAGGTAATTTAAAAAAGACATTGGGACCCTGGGTTTAGCTCAGTAGTATAAGTGCCTGCCTGGCAAGCGCAAGGTCATGAATTCAGTCCTGAATACTAAAAAAAAGACAGCCACCAACACTTTAGCAAGAAAGTATGTGGGTGGTGCTAAAACTCACAAGACAACACTTGATATGATTGTTAAGGAAAGGCAAAACTGCACACTCACTAGAATGATTATCATTAAAATTGATGATACCAAATGCTGACCGGGACACAGAGGAACTGGAATGCCCCACACTGCTGGTAGAAGCACAAAATTGTGTGACCACACTGGAAAACAGTTTGGTGGTTTCTTAAAAGTACTTATGCGATATAGCCCTTCCACTCCTAGATACCCAATAGAAGTATGTTTTTAAATAAAGATACAAATACAACTGTTCATAGCAGCTTTGTAATAATAATAAAACTCTGAACACAAATGTCCATCAACAGGTGAATGGATAAATTAACTATGATACAGTGTATCCATTCAATGGAATGCTACTCGGCCATAAAAGGAATTAACTGGTAGGTGCTACAAAAGAAGCCAGACCGCCCACACACACCAACAAAAAAAGAGTCCACACTGTATGAGTCCACTTTTGTAAAACTCCATAGAATGCAGAGTAATTCATAGAGACAGAAAGCAGATGGTCACCAGGGATGGAGCAGACAGTGCTGGGGCGGGGCTCTAATGGATCACAAAGGCACGAGACAACATTTTCCAGGATGATGGCTGTTCACTTTCTTGACTATGTTGATGGCTTCACTGACACCTTCATTGTCAGTTTAAATATGTGCAGTTTACCTGGAGTATGTGAAAATAGCATTACAAAGTAAGTTTTGAAGATACTATTTTTGGAATTTATGTGCAAAGTTAGTCTTCCTCGACATATTTTCTCTTGTAATTGTAAACTGAGAAATCTAGAGCTGAAGCTCACAAATCTCTGGTTTACAAATATCATGAGAAATTGCTATTTCCTCAGTGTGCTATGGCATGGGAAAAGCAGGGCCATGCTGTCATCCTCGTGAGACAAGATGGCACTGTGCTGTTGTTGGTCTTAGAGCCCAAAAGGGTGCCGCAACAGGAGAATGCCCAGTGACAGGGCTGGCAAAGCCTCTCCACCTGCCCTGTCTCACTCCCGAGAAGCGGTGGCTGCAGTTTGGAAGGAAAAGAGGAAGTGCATTTGGCAGAGCTCAGCCATTGTCTGTGGGTGCACAGCACAGGCAGTGGGGAGGGACAGCGGCAAATGGCAGTGGAAAGAAGACAAGGCAGGGTGACCTGGTCCCCAGGTTCCAGAGAAACACGACCTTTACAAGCAGATTCTGAGCGGTCAGGGCCCCTCAGTGCCTCTGCTGCTCTGCTGCTCCCAAAGGCAGCTACTGTCCCACCTGGACACACAGAGAATACTCAAGAGAACAGAGACACAGAGCCAGGAAGCCTCCGGCCCCAACCTGACCTGACCTGGTGTGCTCATCTGTGGCTGTGATGGCTGCCCCTCACAAAGCACTGCCCCTGCTACCCCAAGTGTGCGCACACTTAGTAGCGTGTGCACAGGAGGTGACAGAGGCTATGAAGCAGAAGGGCTGCATGACTGGTCATATGCCATGGTAAGTTGCTTAACCACCCTGTGCCTCAGTTTCCCCATTAGCAACATGGAGATAATAAGGACAACCACCAATAGTTGGGCTGATCAAGCACTCAACCACTTCTCTTCTCGGTGTTAGGAGCTATTCTCACCCTCATGTTGAGTTCAGGTCTAGGACTCTTGCTGTTTTATTTGTTATCCTAGACCGGTTTTTTTGTTTTTGTTTTTGGACACAGGGTTTCACTATGCAGTTCAGGCTGGCCTTGAACTCACAGCAATCCTCCTGACTCAGCTTCCCAAGTGCCCTAATTTCTAAGAACCTCAGAGAAAATCTGTAAGTCAGGTCAAGGGCAAAGGCCCACTGGGGAGACTGATCTATGCATGTCCTGCTCCCTCCAGCAGGGGGAGACCGGTACCAAGCTTTGCTGTGACGCCAGTGTGGGTGGGGGAAGAGGTTCTGTAAAAGGCTAACTTACAGTCACACAGGTGGATCTGGGGCACTGCTCCTTCCCAGAGCTTTGGCTGTCCTGCTTCCCCATCACAGGGCCTCATGCCACACAACACTCAGTCTCAGTTTCCCAGGCTGTGTCACTGCCTCTGCCTCCGGCTCTGAGGTGCTCCCTGGCTCAGCGTTCCAAACTGCCCCAAACCTTCACCTCTGGGTGGTCCTGCTTCAATCCCCGCACCGTGGGGCTTCCAAGTCCAGGTGAAGACCTTGCTCACCCTCTCCCCACCAAAGCAGCACACACGAAAAACCAGAAAGAAAAAACCATGTCTTTATTGTTTGATAAAAGGACTGACAGGTAGGGCAAGAAGGGTGTATATGGAAACATCTTTGGGTAGCTGGGAACTCCTGTTAACTCTGTACAAAATGCAAAATGTTACAAAAACCACGTAGAAAATGGGTCAGCAAAACAGCAGCCCTTGCAGGGGTCTCAAGGCACAAGAGAAATGGCCCACCCAGGTTCCTGGGGTGTGGCCAGGGAATGGGGGACTGGGGCTACACACTGTCCCTCCAGCCCTGTGGAGTCACTCTTCTTTTCCGGCTCACAAATGACTGCAAAACTGCCACCCAGTGGGGCATAATGGCCAAGGCACTGCCAGAAATAAAAGGGGCCAGAGTCAAACACTCAGCTCCCCTTCACCCCACGGCCCAGGCCTGAAGCAGGCCCTGCAGTGCAGGCACAGAATCCTGAGCACACAGCAGTAGAGCAGCTTCTTAGGGGAGGCACTCAGGTTGCCTCCACGGCAGTGGCCACGAGATGCCACATGCAGGCATGCACGGCCTGGGCCCTGGTCAGTGCCATGTGAGCAGAGGTACCACAGTGCAGCCCTGTTAAGCCCGAGCAGACCAAGCACCTGGCACAATCCTGCTGGAGCCACTGTCCCAGGCAAGGCCCTAATTAGGGTAGCACAAGCAGCACCCTGTGCCCACTGCCTCCGTGCTGGACTGGGTGCCAGGGCCCAGGAGCCCGTCGGTGACAGAGTGCTCCATGATGATGTCCTCCACTCGGGTGATATACAGAAGCGTCAGCAGCACTCCCAAGAACTGCAAAATCAAGACAGCACTGGTGAGCACCTGTGTATATCAAGGCAGCCCTCCTTGCAGTTCCCAGGCCCCAGAAACACAGGCAGCCAGCCAGAGCCCTCCTGACCCTGGGTGGCCTAGGAAACCCCCATAGCACAGCACCCCCACTGCCCAGGCAACCCAGCCTGCACCTCCAAGGAAATCCCAGGGACCTCCTGGGTCACACCAGCCTTCTCCCCAGACCTACCACTGTAATTCGGGGACCTAGTTGTTACATCTTGCCTAGCCTCAGTCTCCTCTAGGAAATGGGCATGATTATCACATGTCCCTTGAGAGAGCCTTAAAGGAGACAGCCCAGAGAGCATGTGGATGAGGGTGGCAACCATGATCACTGTCATTCACCTCCCTCCACCACCCAGCCCAGCTCCAGGTGCCCACCTGGGGGAGCAGAATGCCCAGCAGAAGCCCCGCCATGATGGTGTAGTTGTCCATGAACCAGATGAGAACGGCGTTGGTGCAACCCCGGACGTAGATGATATTCTGCAGGCTGAGGCGCTGCGCAAGAGGGGCCGATCAGCCAGAGCCGGACTCTGCCCCCACTCACACGTGACATAGGAAGGTGACCTGAACCACCTGTTGTCTAGTAGTGGGAGACTGGGGAGCACCATGGTGATGCTTGGGCTGTCCAAATGATTAGCCCTGGGGACTGAGGGACTGCAGAGCTTGGGGACAGTCCTGGCCCAACCTACAGGCACTGATGTGGGTGAAACAACAATCCCTAATTCCCTGAGCCAGAGGTGCGACTAACTCCAGGCAAGGTAAAAATGACATGTTTTCTACATTGTCTTAATGTAAGACAAACTTTTCAGATCTACCACTGGGTAAATTAAGGCATGACCGTGTGGGCTGAGCATCCCTAACCTCAAATCTAAAATACTCCAAACTCTGAAATTTTTTGAGCACTGCTATGATGTTACAAGTAGAAAATTTCACAGTGTGAAATTTTGTTCCATGCACAAAATGATTAAAAATTGTGTATGAAATTACCTTCAGGCTATGTGTAGAAGGTGTATATGAAACAGAAATGAATTTCATGTTCTGATTTAAGTCCCACTCTCAAGATATTTCATTATGAATGTGTAAACATTCTAGAATTCCCACCAAAAATCTGAAATTCAAAACATTTTGGTCCCAAACATTTCAGATTCAATCTGTATTCTGTTCAGGCTTTTATCAAAATTGATCACATTTTTGATTCACTGACTGATTGACTGTTACAGTTCTCACCATGTTGCCCAGGCTGGCCTCAAACCCCTGGGCTCCAGTAATCTTCCTGCCTCAGTCTCCTGAGTAGCTGGAACTACATCTGATTCTTGTTCGTCACTTTAAAAAGACCCCATCAAAGACAAAAAAGGATGCCAGTGGTAAATAGTCACCAACACAACTCCCTATATTAGGGGCCCCAGGGATGTAAGAGTCTCAGGGGTCCCCCTCAGTGCCTGCAAACACTGTTTCACTATCTTCTGCTGCATCTAACAGCCTGAGCTCCTACGTGTTAAAATCTGTTATAGAGTTGCAAACTGCATTATTTTCCTTTAGCATGCTTAGATCATGATGCTATTTAGAAACTGAGTATATAGGTAGATTATATCCATAGGTTTTATTTTCAAATAATAGGGCAGTAATAAGTACTATTCTACAGGACAGCATCAGCTCTGGTGGGTTGAGTGCACTGAATGGCGCAGATCTCAAACTGAATGTGTGCTGGGATCACCTGCTGGGCTCCACCTGGGAAGTGCACATTTCTAACAAGGTCCTGCAGAGGGCTGGCTGAGGGACCCCACTGTGTAAGCCAGTGCTATAAGGCCTCTCTTTACTGTTAGCTCCTTCCCCAGCATTACCCCCTGGTTCTCTCCTAACCCAGGTTAGCTGCACAGAGAGTGTGGGGACTCCTAGGTCCTCGGTAAAGGGAACAAGGTGGGCTGTCTGCAAGCTGGTGACCTCAAGTGCAGAGGCCAGCTGGGCTGAGCCAGGGCAGGCGCACAGCACTCCATGGTCCTGGCAGGTGGCCTCACACAGACAAGTCCGGAGGAGACATTCAGCAAAGCACGGGAGGTGGCCTCTCCAGCTCCCAGAGCCCTCACCTCAAAATCCCCTATGGGACAGGAGCAGCAATGTTTCTGGGGAAGGGGACCTAAAGACATTACCTCCTTGTCGATGGTTTTGTAGCCACACATGGTGTTGATGACATCTGTCTGAAATGGAAACGTAACAGCTAACATGCCATGTGTCTTTCCTTCCCCCTCCTCTAGCAGCAGCCCAGAACCGGAGAGAAAAGCAAGCTGCGCTGGGTCCCACCATTTTGCTTGCTGGGTCATGCTCTTCCCACACAACTGCGTCTTATGAAGGAAAATGGGACCACAGCTCCACCAGCTGAGGGCAGGGCTGGTCCCCGGGCATGCCTCGGTGTCCCCTGAGACACTGGTCTCCCCAGGGGCTGGAAGTTCCTTCCTGGGAAGGGAACTGCTCTCCAGAACCCTCAGCTGCTGGCTAATTTAGGCCCAGGGAAAGCTGTGGGCCCAGCCCAAACCCCATCAAATGCCTCCCCAGGCAGGCCCCACATAGCAAGCAAGCAAGGCCCATGCCCCAGGTGGCCTCCACCTCTCTCTATAAGGTGAGAGAGGCACAACCCTGAGTCCAGCTCATGGCCCCTGCCACCACATTCCTCCCCTTCTAAGTGAATGCTCTGTGGGGTTTGGGGGCCACAGACATCCCTAAGGGCATATAGTGGCAACCGCTGAGTGGCCACTGTGGCCCCTAGCATCACACTTCCTGCACCCAGGTCCGGCTGTGCCACATAAGGAAGCTGCACTTCAGAGAGCTGCGCTCATCCCTCCTCCTCCTTGACCTCTCCACGGGTGCCCTCTGATCCAGTAACACCCAGTGTCCAGGTGGCACCAGGTCCATCCAGGCCATGAATGTGGCCCTCAGGCGAGGGTTGAGTCTGGGGAGCAAGTTCGGGAGGGTATGACGGGTACAGGGGCCTCCACTTCCTCCATTCATTCATGCATTGAGCCAACATTGTTTAGGAACCAATGGTGTGCCAGCCACATCTCTGGGGACTTGGATTATAGAGGAACAAAGTCCCTGCCCTCAGGACACTCACATCTGGAAGACGAGGCCTGCATAATGCAGAAGGAAACTACACAGTACAGACACAAGACAAAAGCAGCTTTGCCCAAGCCAGCCCTGGATGCAAAACCACTCAGTGCATAGTGGGCTGGGTGGCACAAAGGCACAGCTCCCTCACCCCAGCACCAGACAGCACAGAAGCAGCATCCATACCCCAGCCACCTGCATGGCAGTGCACTGACTGATGTCCAGTATCTGCCTCTAGCTCGCCTGGCTTCCAGCTCTGCCTGCCCACCAAGTCTTCTGCTCACTTACCAACCTCCCTGCCACTCAAGGGAACACCAGAGTCCCGCCCATGGCCTGCAGGACACCCGTGACTTCCCTCTCTGCCAGGAACGCCCCGGCCCCAGAAACCTGTGTGGCTCCTCCACTCACTTCCTTCAAAACCCTCCTCTCGGAAACGGCAGCGCCCTGCGCCTCTGCTTTCTCTCCTCAGCATCTACCCACTTCTCACCTACTCTCTTTTCCTTCTCTATCTTGCCAGTCTTCCACATGGGCAGAGGCTTTGTGTGCCTGCTGTACCCCCACCACCTAGAAATGTGCCTGGATCCTCGACCAGTACCTGTTGAATGAATGAATGAGTGAATAAATTGGGCTTCCTTATCTCAGCCAGACACTCGATGCTGCTGCCCCTGGTGAGGAGGTTCAGATCAGCTGCTGAAAGCCCCTGAAGCCCCGGGACCCCACATAGCACTCGCCTGGCCCAGCGACCTACCCTAAAATGGCAGCTAGAATTTCCAAACAAGCTCACTCCAGCCCAGCCTGCTTAGGGCGAGTGCAGTTGGCGCTGCTCCTGCCTTCTGGACGACGCCCCGCCACAGCTGCCGGGTTTACAGACTCAGGCAGTGGGCACTGGTGGCAGCGATGTTAGCACAGACATTTTCCATGACTGCTGGGTCATGAGTAATTACATGGCTTTCTGCTAGTTACACACAAGGATTGACGTAGTGGTGACCGCACAGGACAGCATCGCGAGTGACTAAGGAGGTTACAGCTGAAATGCAGAGCTGGGGAGAGGCAGAGGCTGACATTTACATCACCAGACCTCTCCTGCTGGGCTCTGTGTTGCTGGGGTTACCAGAGACACCCAGAGCGCAGGCCCACTCTGCCAGAGCCAATGCTACAGACCAGTTCGCCCCTCTGAGGTCCACCCTTGAAACTGCTGCCCTGGCCTCATCTGCGGAGCCCTGGGCTGAAACAGCTGCGGATACTGCATCCAAGCCCTACCAACCTCAGGCACCTAACCTTTCTGTGCCTCGATCTCCTCATCTGTAAAGTGAGTGAATTAATAGCAGCTACCTTACGTGTCATTGTAAAGGCTGCGTTAAATAAAACCAAAGACCTTGCAGCAGGCCTGTGGGAGCTCAGTAGTTGCTGATGACCACACTCATAAAGTCAAGGCCCCATGCCACACCATGAGCCCTCCCTGAAGGAGTCTTAAAGGCTCAGGAAGCCTCAGCTCTAGCTGCCACCTCTGCCTGTTTGCCCCAGCCCACACTGTCCACCTCCCCATCTTCGCAGCATCTGACCACCTGCCCCACCCCAGGAGAGCATTACCTTGTTCCGGACACAGCAGGTGTAGGGCACCCCGCAGGCCAGAGGCCCAGGGGCATTGCAGTTGTGATACTGGTTTTTGTTCCAATCCCGATAGTCTTCCCCACCACAACACTTGAACTGAGAAAAACAGCAAACAGAAGAGAGCTTCCAGTCAGGTGGACAGAAGGGGCCAACACAGTTTATTACATGGATCACCCTGGTGGGAGAGTGACAGCAGGTACATGAGGCTGTATGCTGTCAGGTCTGAACTACCAGGAGCAGCCACCATCCAGGAGGTAGCAAGCACCCTGTCTTGGTAAATAGGCAGGTCAAGGCTGGACGGCCTTGGGGTGGACATCAGAACAATGACTGGGAAAGTCCCTCCTTAGCAACTGGATTGCCCCTGTTCATCTTTACATCCCAGGTGTTGGGCTGGAGAAGAAGGTCTTTATGGTCCCAGAGACCATGGCCCTGAGGAAGTCCCTGCTCTGTTTTTTTTTTTTTTTTTTTTTTTTTTTTTTTTGTCTTTTTCTTTTTTATCGGTACCGGGGATTGAACTCATGACTGCATGCTTGCAAGGCAGGCGCTTATGCCGCTGAGCTAAATCCCCAGCTCGTCCCTGCTGTTGACCTCAGCACACAGGCAGTGGCCTTAGGCTATCCCCTGAGTTTTGTCTTCCTGCCTCTGCCCCTGCACCAGTGCCCACTCCCAGGAGCAGTGGCCAACAGCTCCCTGGAGGCACTGGCATATGCTGGGCACCATCTGGGTTTTGGATAGACAGGGTGAGCAAAACCAGGGGAGGGAGGCAGGGCAAGCCCTAAACAGAAAGGCAGGAAGGGACGCCATGCTCCCAGACACAGGGGAAAGGAACAGGACAGGGTGGCTTTAGGGTAAATGTCAGAAAAGGCTGCTCCAAGGAGAGGACATTTTTCTGAAATATGGGTCTGGAACAGAGTGAGTGAGAGAGAGCAGGGAGGGACGGCAGAGAGGAGAGTACAAGGCTGGGTTGTACGGCAGGAGCAGCACAAGGCCAGCCAGGGACTGGTACGGTAGGAGGTTCTGGTAGTAGCACAAACCAGAGACTGTCCCAAGTCCCCACAGTGCCCTTTAAGCCATTAGGTTTAGGGACTTTCAAGGCCTGTCTAAGGTGTGGTTCAAGGGGCATTTGCTTTGCAACCAGACAAATCTCCCATTCTAATCCTCAAACCATCTCAGCTGGGTGGCTGCAAGTAAGCTGATCAGCTTCTCTGGGCCTCTCATCCTTGTGTGTAAGAGAGGAGCAAGGGCAGCCTTGCAGAGCTGAGCTGTGACGGCCAGAGAGGCTGTGTGTAAAGCACTCTGCCCGGAGGACACCAAGCAGGTGCCTGCTGAGCACTGATCATTCCTACCCCTCCCCCCACCCATCTGAAGGCTGCTTCCAATGAAAACATCTCACTCTGCCGAGTGCCAGTGCGTGTGACTCCGCTGTCCCCAACAGAGCTGGCAGCACGGCGCTGGCAGGAAACGGCTTCCAGAGGAGGCTGCACCTGTTCTGATTACAAAGGAGCACAGAGCCAGGGCCCTGGGCGTGGTGAGAGTCCAGTTCCCACCAAGGGCTGGCACAGGGGAGCTGAGCAGCTGAGCTCCCAAGGTCATGTCCCAGGAGGTGCTGCTGGGCAGGGTGGGCCAGTGGCTATCCCCACCCAGGAGCCTAAAGACAACTCCAATGCTCACTTCCTGGGGCCTTATCACCAAGTGCCTGCCTGGTCTGTTCTAAGCCTTCCCCCACCCTGCCCAGTATTGGGCGTTGGACCAGGGTCTTCACAATGAGCTGTATCTCAAACTCTTTTCTATTTTTCATTTCTATTTTTCTATTTAGGATCTCACTAAGTCACTGTGTTGCCCAGGCTAGGTTAGAACGTGCAATCCTCCTGCCTCAGCCTCTCAGAGTGCTGGAATCACAGGTGTGCACCACCATGCCCAGCTTCTTCTAAGCACTTCTGGAAGAAGTCAAGGTCATCTTCACAGAGAGACCAAGGGCAGGGACGTGAGCCTTGGCACTAAAGGAAAGGAATGCAGAAAAGCACCAAGGAAAGGGGCTGGTACTATGACTGCCGAAAAAGGTGCTAAACTGGGGGCAAAGATCCTGGAGGCACCCCTTTGACCACAGCCCTGGGGGCTCACCTGCTTCTGAACAAAGTCCATGATGTTTTTGAAGTCCAGGTCGTCATAGTAGTTCTCAATTCCTCTTCGAATGTTGTCATTCAAAAAGCCAATGGTCTATTAAGGAGACATCACAAAGGAGAAGTTCCATGCACAGAGACCAACCCAGGAATTCCTGGAAGTTGGCAGCAGGCACCATGTGCTTTTCAGCAGCACCTGCGCCGCCTGCTGCAGAGGTTCCTCCACTCCCCACCCAATCCCATGGCCTCCCTTTCCACAAGGCCTCCCCAGCCTCCAAGGCCCAACAGATGCCTGAAGGCCTCCACCACATCCTCTACAGATGGACGGCCAGACCCTGGAGCGAGGGCCATGCCCAAGAGCACTGGGCTCTGAAGCAGCCACACCTGAGCTGGCTCAGCCATCTTGGTCCCCAGCCCGGTGCTCTTTCTGCCACCCAGGGACAGGCCTGAGCTGGTACCTTCCCTTCTTCCATAATCCCTCTCCATATTCCTCCATCATCTTGCCTCAAGCTGTATAGAGGAGGAAATTGAGGACCCAGGAGAAGGGGACTAGTGGCAGGGCTGGGGGGTCAACAGAGCAGGCTGATTTGGGCCTGGCTGGGGCTGGCATTTGAGTCGCCTGACTTCCTGTATGGGAAGTCTCTCCATCACTATGGTGCTGGGGCCCACAGACCCAGCAGTCCCCTCCCAACTGGGGCAGGACAGTCCCCTTGGGAAAGAGCACTGGCACACTGCCCTATCCCAGTCACACTGGGCTTTTTGGATCAACAGTCTGGCTGTTGTGCTGAGATCCAGGGCACAAAGGGGCCCACAGCAAGCAAGGGTGGGGGCGGAGTGTGGGCGGCCCTTCTCCATGCCGGCTGTGACAATCAGAGCTTTCAGAGCACCGAGGCTGAGTATCAGCCGAGAAGGGGACAAAGGGGCATTCTTGGCTCTGGTGCCAGAGAAGAGCCAGATAATTCCTGGGAGGACAACAGGGTCCAGGTTCCGGACCCCTCATAGCTCTCTTCCCCTTCCTGGGCCTCAGTTTCCCACTGAGCCAAGGCTGTGGGCTTTTCTACAAGGAACAGTCCAGATCTGAGGGCCAAAAACCAAGCTGAGAGGAACTATCCAGCCTCACTGTCAAGGTGCAGTCCGTGTAGTCTCTGGGCTACAGTCGCTTCTGTTAACTTCTGAGCCTCCAGATCCTCACCACAAAATCGGAAGGCAACTCCCCTGCCTCACAGGGATGCTGTGGGATTAAACTGCACTAAAGCTCTGAAGTGCTAAGCAGGAAGCCAGGCACACAGTAGGTCCTGGTGTTATAAACTTTGCAGTGTTTTTCCAGGAGACAGACACCGCATGCTACTACCTCAGACCCACTGTGCCATGTAATGGAGATGTAGCTTGCTCTGAGCAGGGTTTAAAATTAACTGATTGGCTTTCTATGTTTATTTATGAGTCTGTCCCAGGCTTAGGTCCCTCGTCTGGAGATGGGCAGCAGATTCATGGTAAGTGAACCTCTATGAATCACTGGTCCGGCTGAGGCCTGCAGAGGCCTGTGAGGCCAGAGATGCCTCAAAGGACAAGATAAGACCACAGCTGAGGACACCTGGCTCCAACCCCAATTAACTTGGAAGACTGTAGCTGCAGGTATCTCACTCCTGCATTGAAGGTCAACCTGGAAGTAAGACAGTTCTCCTAAATTAAGATAATTTATTGCTTGGAGACAATGTGAGCCAACTCCCACTGTCCCGCTCAGTTCTCACTTTTCCCACTTTAATCCCTTTTTTGAAAACCTAAGAAATATGAGTCATCCAGAGAAGATCTTTGTGTCAGCTCCCAGAGAATCTCAAATTCTGCTAGAGGGTTTTGCTCCTCCCAGACCCCTAAAATCATACAACTTGTTTCTTTTATTTAAGCCGTTGCTGCCCGCTTATTTGGGAGGTTGCAGGCCTGACAGTCATGAATGAAAAATGGTGATTCTATGGGGAACTCTCCAGCTATCATCCAAATACCTGCTGCAATATAGGTAGCCTCTGGGGGAGAGTCCTGGGGCCACCCTCACAGACATCCTGTAGCCCCAAGAGCAAAGTCATTTGCCCAAGGTCACCCAGTGGCCATTGGCAAAGAGATGCTGAGATCTAGGTGGACACCTTTTCGGGTGCCAAGTGAAGATGCCAAGGTTCAGATTTGTTCTTGTCTCTAAACCATCTCCAGTACTAGAAGAGAGGAATGAAGCAGGCCAGAGCACCTCCTTTCCAAGACCACGATGCACAGAGCCAAGGTGACAAGACCCAGGAGGAAAGAGAGCACCAGCTTCTGCAAGAGGCTCAGAACTGCTGGCCATGGCCCATACTAGTCTGACACGGGGCTCTGGGGCAGAGGCTTGATGGACCAGCTGCCTGTAGCAAGGACTGGGCAGGCCTCAGGCCCAGGTCAGAGAGCCTCTCCAGCCTTTAGTGCCTACTGCACTGGCTAGAGAAGGGATAGTCCAGCTGGCTGGGGTGTGGGAGGAGTAGGGTAAGCTGCTCACCAAGGGTGGGGTAGGGGATGAACTCACAGCTCACAGCTACTGGGTGCTGGAGTAATACTAGTATCAAGGTCACTTGTTGGGCCACCACTGTGACAATACAATGTCAGACCACTTACTTCCACATTCAGGGCACTGCAGTCACAGCCCCGGCCCACTCTGGTGCTTTGTACCTAGCCTGGCCCACTCCCAGCCTGTCTCTGGGTCACTGAGCCCTCTGGACACCCTCAGAGGTGGTGACAGAGTAGGATGGCAGGAGGCCCAGGCTATGGAGGCAGAGAGGGCATAGAGGAGGCTGGTGAGCATGGAGCAGGTCCTCTCTCCTTCAGGGGCAGCACTGGTCTCTGTCACCAAACCACCATGAGCATTTGCAAGAGCACAGACTCCATGCCACGCCTGGGTGAGAATCAGGCCAGAAAAGGAAGGGAAGGGAGGGGAATGGGCAGGAGGAGCAAAAGGTCTAGGGCTCAGTGATGGCAGCTGCCCCAGCTCCCATGGGAAAGATCTTTGGGTCACGTTGGTTCTCGAAATTGTGTCTCCTTTTGCGCGTATTCGCATGTGCACTGGCAGATAGGCAGGTCACTGAGTGCTTCCTTGGCTGTGACCACTGGGAGGGTAGTGAGGAAGTCTCGTGAGGGAACAGGGTGCACAGCTTGTTAACTGCAAAGTCCCTAACGTTGGCAGTGCCTGTTGTGTTCTGAGGGACTTCTAAGCCACTCTGGGGACATCGCCTGTGGCAGCAGGTGGGGAAGTGACTTCCAGTGCAGTTCCCAGAGACCATAGCCACCAGTGTCACCATGCTTGGCTCTAAACCAGGTCACGGCAGCAAGGGCAGCCCCAATGAGGGCTAGAAAGAGCCTTTCACCAAGAGACAGCAGAGCCTCGATGGTCACGTGGCCTGGCTAACTGAAGCCAAGAGTAAGTAAACATCAAAGGCCACCAAATCTTGTCCTTTGTCGGGAGCTGTTGAACCTGGAAATTGAACACACGTGCAGGGCTGCAGCATGGCCAGGGCATGGCCCAGCTGACCCCAGAACAAAGAGATGCCTCAAAGGACAAGATAAGGTCACAGCTGAGGACACCTGGCCCCAGCTCCAATTAACTAAATAAAGACTATAGATACAAACATTTCACTCCTGCAGTGAATGCTTCTCTGAACTTAAGATAAGATAGCTCTCCTAAAGTAAACATAACCTGTTACCTAGAAAAGTCCTGAACCACTCCCAAGGTCTGTTCAGTTTCCTGCATTTTCCAGTCTAACTCTTTCCTTATTTGAAAAAAATAAATACCGACCACCCAGAGACATTCCTTGTCATGGACACCAGAATCTCAAACTCTGCAGAGGATTCTGATCCTCCTGGAGCCCCCAAGTTATATATCACTTATTTCATTTATTTAAGCCTTCACCATACACTCATTTGGGAGATTGGGGATTTAGGCCAGGTCCCCAATTGTCCTTTCTAGTTGTTTCTTTCAGATCTAGTTTTCTAGCTGCCCAAGGCCTCTGGAGAGGCACACGCAGTGTTTTCAATGGCTGAGGAATGGAAGGCAATAGGCTTCCTCACCAGGGCTTCCCCAGCAGCATCAGAGACCCTGGCAGCGCAGCTGCACCCAACACCAGGAATCACAGAGAATCCTGCGATGAGGGAGGTTACACCCCAATAGGGCTCCAGCTGCCCAGCTGGCAGCTCTGCATAGAGGGGTGCACCACCTGCAGAGATCCGGCCAGACCAGTGCAGAACTCTGCCTCTGGGCCATCAGCAGCTGGGCTCTGGTGCTCAGCTGTGGGGGCCATGGTGCCACCTCCTTTCTCCTGCCCCTGACACCAGTGTATGCCTGGAACCAGCTAAGGCCAGAGCCAGGACAAGACAACCAGGCTGGTGCTGGCATCTAGAATGACAATAATAACCCCTGATAGAGCTGAAGCAAGAGATTTCTGCTCCCCACCTCCTGCTGGAAGAGGCAGAGGGAAGGAAGCCTGGGGCGGGGGTGCACTCCCAGACCCTCTGGAGAAGCCACAGACCAGGCTGGGGCAAGGGCAGCTGTGAAGGGGGTACAACTAGACAGTGGTGGGGTCACTCAGGGTCTCTTCCCACTGGCTGGTGTCATGGAGCTGCCCCTACATCTGCTTCTGATCCCTGGCTGGCTGGCTCCCAGCTGGTCCCATACCCCTAAATTGAGAGGTTATTTCTGGGGAATGCTGGGTCAGGAGTGTCCACAGAGGCCTCACCAGGCTCGAGGCTGTAAGAGTTGCTTCCTCCTCCGAGAATCCTTAGCTTGCTCTGCCCATCCCCGACCTGGGCATGGCCCCAGGACCCCAGTAGGCAGTTTAGCCTGACCAGTTGTTCTCCTTTGTCCCCTGCCAGGGTATTGTCAGAGTTAACAGGCGGCCCAAGGCACTGGAGGCTGAACTTGTGGCTAGAAGAAATCACTCTCCCTCTGATGAAGAAAAACTGGAATGGGGAACTCATCTCCTCCTGAAAGCCAACCTTGACTGCTCCTCCCCACCCTCTGCCACCGCACAGCCACGGCTGGTCACGCTCGTCTGCTCCTGGCATCAGCCTGTCTGTCTCTTGTCTTACAAGAGTTTCGAGGGGCATTAAGTCTTTTCATTATGGCATTTTTCTCTTGACTTTACAAAAAAAAAAAAAATGGGGAATTGGGGAAAAACAGAATGAGAAGAAGAAAAATCACCTTTGTTCCATCCCTCAGAGGAAACAGAGTTTCTTGGTTAATATTTCTGTTTCTCTCAGTGTTTCTCCAGATTTTGTTGCATCCATTGTGAAGGTCTAGCTGTATTTACGGTTGTGAAGCTTGCTTTAACATTTTAAGAAATTTCGTTTGAGCATATGATGCTGTGATACCAACTACAGATCTGACCACAGATACGTTTTCATCCTCTGCACCTGCCTCATCAATCCCTCCCCAAGGCAGGTGCACAAACTAGAATTTCTCAGCCCCAAGGTGGGTCACAGAAACTCCAGCCTTCACATTCACCACAAAGACACACCCTGACCTGCCCTTGTCTGACGGTCAGTCACAGAACTTCTTCATCGCACAGGTGTTTCCTGGCACCCGTGAGGGAGAGATGTTGCGGAATCTGAACAGAAAGGTCTCCCTGGGTATCCCCACCCAGCCCATGCGCAACCATGCCTGTGCTTCGAAGTGACCATCAAGCCCCCAAAGGATAGGTTTCAGGGAGCTTCCTGACGGCTGACCACACAAAGGCTCTGCACCCCTCTTCCCAAGCCTCACCTTTCTTGCACCCTTTGAAACATTCTTTATAATAAACTAATAAAAGGGCAATAAACACCTTTCATAAGAAACAGAACTCAGTGTTTCCCTGAGGGCTGCCTGAGCAAATTAACTGAACTGAGAAGGATACAGAGGGGCCCCTATTTATAGCCAAGTGCTCAGAAGCATAGAGGAAACCAGCTGGGGCCTGTGACAAGCACCCAAAGTGGACAGTCTTGGGGTCTGACCACTCAGCCCATGGGATGTGATGCCAGCTCCAGGTGGACAGCACCAGCTCTGAGCTGACTCAGAGGACACCTCACTGAGGTCTACTGCAGAACAGATGGCTCACTGGCACTGAGAAGAGCGCCACAGATCCAGGGATCACAAGGGTGACCTGGGCCATCAGTGTGCAGGAGGAGAAACTGAGTTTACGTTTGTTCTTTTCAACAGACACCATGGCCCACTCCACAGAGCAGGCAGCCCTTGCCAGTTGCCTACCAAGAGCCCCATGAGGGCACCCCACTCAAGGGAGAGGGACATACTTCACAGGTTGCAGAGGGTGGAGACCACTAGAAACTCAACCCTGGCCCCGGCCTCCTGAACTATGAGTGTTACAGGTAGCTGAGTTAGATAAAAATATTATAGGCAAAGGGCTAGGCTCAGTTCTCAAAACACACACACAAAAAAAACAAATGAACCACACCCTAAGGATAAACATCAGGGATTGATATTCTAAATAGCTATGGATCACCCTGAAGTCAGTAACCACCATCCCAACCCCCCACAGGAAGAGTCACTGCTCCATAAGAATGCCTACGTTATACTACGAGACTCCCTTCCCCATCTGATCCCAATTTAATCAATTTCACCTGAGCAATTACACTTGAAATCTTAGCGGACGGCCACAGTTCTGTTCTACCTCATGCCTGCCCGCCTACCTGCCTTGAGAGCTCCCTTTTTTTTTCCTATCTTGGGCCCGCCTTATCTCGTGGTTTTGCTCTACAAAAGTCCCTAGAAAAGACAATCTTTGGCAACCCACTTGGGACCTCTTCTGACTCCCTCAGATAGAAGCTTTCTTTCTCTCAGTAAATATATTCTGCTCTTAACCTCCGTTATTCCTGAAATTCATTCTTCAATTTTAGAGAATGTGAACTCTTACCGGACATTCCGTAGGTTGGGAGTTTCATTCCCCATTCTATGAGGACTAAAGAGCCCAGGGGATTTGTGAGGCCTCAGCCCAGCTCCCTCACTTGAAAGGCCCTCTCTGACCTGTGGAGCCTGGAAGGCAGCAAATCCCAGTCTCGACACAAGCATGCCGGGACTAGGCCTGCTGCTTACTTGGGAGCAGGCTGTTTACTAAGGACATGGAAGCTGTGGATCACAAACTCTCCCTGGGCTCCATCCAGGGAAGCACTGTCCCTAACCCTGGAAGACACAGGCTGGCCAGAAGCTCTAAAGGCTGCACAGAATAGCATCTTCAAAGGTAAATGAATGAACATCTCTCTCCCCTCAAGCTGCTGGTGAGCAGCCTACTAGCCTAGATCCATTAGCTCTGAGCAGAGAACCAGAGTAGAAAAGAGGGAAAGGGAGGAGCAGAGAGCGATTCTGGATTTGGAAGAAGCCCTGCGCTGTCTCTGCTTTGCTGTGTACTCTTGGAAACGTTTCTTATCCTCTCTATGTATTGATCACTCCATTGGCATGCTAGGAATTGCCCCTCCTTTATTCTGGAGTTTGGATCCCAGGGATATAGACGTGTCTAGGGCTAAGTCTCATCCTAGGAGGCCTGGGCATGGCAGGTATGGTCCTGTTCCCACCAGGGCTGGGACACCAGCCATAACCAGGAAGAGTGTGGCAGGGGTCAGACACTGAACTGGCTGAGGCCCTGGCTTTGGGACAGTGTCTGCTGCCGTGGGCCCAACTTCTCGCAAGAATGATGATTCCATTGCAGTTCTAATCCATCATTCCAACGGGTACAGGAACGCCAGGCACCAAGCTGTATAACAGGCCAGGGTGTACCCAGGGAGTAGACAGAGACCGGGGCTTCTACAAATGCACCCTGCACCTCAAGCCCTGACCACAACACCAAAGTAGGGTGAGACAAAGGAGGTTCTGAGACAAAAGACAGAGAATTCTGATTTAGAAGTGTGCCCTACCCACCGCTCACTTCTGGTGGGGTCTTGGACAAGAGAAGCTGTGCCCAAACATGTCAGGGCCTTCAGATTTCTTCTTCATCCAATATTCACCCCAAACTCATCCTCTAGGAATCATGACCCCCTAAGACTCCGAGAGGTCAAGTGACTGCCCAAGGTCACACAGCTGGTATGAAGCACACGTGTATAGAACAGAATGAGGGATCTGGAGACCAAGAGCCATGAACACTCCCCCAGCTCCACAGGACTCTTAACTCTGCAGACCCTGCTGGAGGTGGGATGCTGCACTGGAAACCCGTCTCCTTCCCTCACTCCTGCACGCAGCATGACAGTCACGCAGGTGCCAAGATACACCAAATCCCAGCATCTCTGCCAGCCCCTCTGCCTCCTGGAGTACAAGCAAAACCCCCTAGGGGCTGTCCACTCCACTCAATGGAGACCCCCATTTATAGCACAGAGCACACACGGCAAGCCATCAGTATGCACAGCTCCCATATATGAGCCCCCAGGCCCACCTGGTTCCGGAAGATCAAGGCCACCACACCACCAGCGAGCTCCATTATGAGGCAGATCCCCAGGATATACATAAACTGGAAAGCAAAATTCAGAGATTCACCTGAAGGGGGCAGAGGATAGACACAGGGCAAAGGGCAAGCGTCATCAAGAGCAGTCAGGAGAGTTACTTCTGTAGCAGCTCTCACAGCTCCAGGGCCTGCTGCCCTCCCAACCCGCAGGATCATGGGATGTGGACAGCTGTACCCACGCTGCCCCAGGCAGATGATTATTACCCATGTTTGTCCCAGAGGACTTTTGTGGAGTTTAGGTGACAAGCTTCACCATCCCATCCACTCAAGGGAAGAGCTGGGCCTCACCCTGGCTTGAAGGACAGGCTGGGGCAGAGCTTCAAGTACCCTTCTGAAGTGGGGTGAGAGGTGCTTGATGCTTAAAGGATACGCACCCCAATGTGTTATCAGAAATCAAGCATCTTACAAATAGACTCCAGCAACTTCTGGCCTCAGGTAACACATGATCTTGTTTCTATGGGATCATAAGACTTTTCCATAGGCAGGGAGGTTATAAGATACACATGTGAGTGTGGAGTGAGGGGCTCTGTCTCGCTTGCATCCCCAGCTTTAGGGAATCATCCCTCGCTACTATGGAGATGCAGGGAGAGTAGACCACACCTGTGACCTCAGGATGGGTACATGACCCCAGCTGGGGCCACCAGCATCCAGAGACTCTGACCAAAGGAACCAAGAAAGATACTTTGGGGTTAGAAGCTACAAAGATAGGGCTGGGGATTTAGCTCAGCAGCATGAGCGTCTGCCTTGCAAGCACACGGCTGTGAGTTCAATCCCTGGTACCAATTAAAAAAAAAAAAAGCTACAAGAACTCTGCCAGCCTGAGGCTGCTGGTGAGCAGCACAGGGAGCCCCAGGAGGTGGCAAGAGACTATCTAAGCTGTAGTTGGGTGAGTTAAGAACCACCACCCCCCTTTTATTCATCTTTGCTTGTTCACATCCAAGTGTGGCTTCTCCCACTGCCACCAAGGGACCAGAGGAACAGGAGCAACCACAGTACTCAAACCTGCTTTTATAAGCAGATGTGGGCTCCGGGCCCCTCCTGAGGCCTGCTCTGTGGGCTGACCTAGGAAACTCTCTAGGGCTCAGGGGCAGTGTGCTGGGCCTTTGTGGAGACCCCAAGGAGCCCCCTATGGCCACACCCTCACCCCCACCCCCACCCCCGGGCTGAGGGCTGGGCAGGCCGACTCACCGCTTGAAGAAGGCACAGGTTGTCTCGGAGGGAGGCCAGCACACCAATGAAGGAGACGATGAACATGACAACCCCCAGGAGGATGAGGATAATGGCCGGGGCCAGGAAGGCGCTTTCCAGGGTTTTGTACTTCTGCCGCTCGACCTCGGCATAGATCCCCACAGACAGGACCAGGGCACCGATCAGCTGCAGCAGAAGGTGGCAGTGAGAAGAAGGACTGCGGGTGGCCGCTGACCTTCCCATGAAGAGCCTGGTTAGGGCCGCGCTCCCTGGAATCAGGGGATTCCCCCAGGGGGGCCATGCATGAGGGACCCTGGCATGGGCTGCACTGTTCCCCAAAAAGTCCTCTGCGGCAATCCTAGATGCCAGTTCCTCAGAATATGACTATATTTGGAGATAGGGCCTTTAGAGTGGTAATTAAGTTAAAATGAAGTCACCACGGTGGCCATAATCCAATAAAACTGGAGTCCTTACAAGAAGAAGAGATCAGGACACAGAGAAACAACGAACAAAGACGGGGAGACGAGGAACATCTATGAGCCCAAGAGAGAGGCCCGGGAGAAGCCAACCCAGCCACACCTCGCGCTTAGGCTTCCACCCCCAGAATGTGAGCACATCAGAGTCTGTGCTTAAAACCACCCCGAGGGTGGCACTTGGACAATAGCCATCACAGACTAACATGGACTCTCAAGGCTGTGTCACGATGTCCCCCCAAAGCCTCACGCCATTTAGACCCAGGTGCCTGGATCTAGAGTATGTGGTGCTGGAATTGATTCATGGCACGGTGGATACCATGCTAAGGTCAAGGCACTAACATTTAGGGTGAGTGCTACTTGCCCTAAAGGTAGGTAAACAGGTTAGATATTATGGTCCAAGAAAGCTGAGGTCTCCCTTGTTTGCTTTGTTACCTTCTGCTCTGGCATCAACTATTTCTCCTCTGTGAGGCCTGTCCGCTTTGGAGCCAGCTGATTGTGCACTGAAACTTCTACAAACTGTGAGCTGAACAAACCTTTCCCCTTTAACTTTGGATGTTGGATATTTTGTCTCAGCAATGAGAGAGAAATAACTAAGAAATGGACCCTGCATGGAGATGCTACAGTAAGGGGGCACAGTTTGGGTCAGAGAACATGGGTTTGCCAGTTCTGTCACTTGCTAATCCAAGATCCTGGACAGGCAATGACCACCCTGAGTCTGTTTCCATCAGTTTCCATCTGAAAAATAGGGATGATACGTTCACTGTGACCCTGCTTACCCAAGGGTCTTTGTAAGGAAGTAGCCAAAATAAGAAAAGTGGGGGGCTCTGTAAACCCAAAAGTACAGGGCCATCATGATGACTATTAGATAGGCAGGAACCTAAAGGACATTTTGGCACCGCTCAGGGGAATAGACATTTTAGACAGTATCACAAATCAGGACTGCACTTTCAGGATGACCATAAGGAAGGCCAAAGGATGGAATAGAAATTTTGAGGGGATTTTCATTAAAATCCCTCAATATCAACATTTCTGACAGTTAAAACAGTACTCTGTAACTTTCCAAAAAAAACCCCCAAGGCTCTTCACTGCTGTCAAACACACCAATGCATTCACCCCAGGGCCTTTGCACACACTGTTTCCACCCCCTAGAGAGGCCTTCCTACTGATATCCACATAGATCATTCCTCACTTCCTTTCATCTTTACTCAGTTGTCACCTGTCCCTCCCTGCAATTTTTTTTTTACTGCTTTTTCCGTTTCATTTTTCTCCTTTGTATTCACCAGTATTTAACATACTACATAATTTCTTTTGCCTCTTTAATAGTTTGTCTTCTCCACCAGAACATAAACTCCATGCCAGGAGGGATGTTTTGGACTGTTTTGGCATCTGCAGTCCCTGACAGTTCCTATGCTGGGGAAGTGCCACAGACGTTTACAGTCAATGTCCTCAATGAACGTGAGCTGGAGTTTCCCACAGACCCAGACCCCCACCCCGATCCTGAGTCAGTTGCTGTTTACCAGGCTCTTGCCTATCCAAAGATCCCCACCGTCCTTCCGGGCCAGTCATTCCGGAAGGCCGGAAATGTCACTGGGTTGCAGGGCTTCCCCACTGGGCCGAGGAGACTCAGGAGAATAGAAGTGGTACGCTGCCAGCTCAGGTCCGAGAGGAAGGAAGGCAAACAGACAAGCGGTGACAGTGTGCACCAGGGCTGGCGGCCCCAGAGTCCCACATAGTCGCCAGAGCCCATCCTTCAGCCACGTACTTCTGCTCAGGTTTCAAGTGGCCATAGTGGGCTCCTTTTTCTTCACGCCTTCCAGGACGGCTCCTTGACCTTCTACAGGGCGCCAAGGCTGCCCTGAGTAGAGAGAGGGAAGTGGCTGCTTCCCCCTCGGCTTTGACCAGTGACAGGGATACCAGAGTCTGGTCACACTACAGAGCTTCTGACATAGAAGCACTGATGGCCGTGGGTTACCAGGACCAGCTCTCTTGGGTCCGGCACCCTGCTGTATTCCAAGGCTATAGCCTTGGTTTACAGAAATAATTCCCTTCACCAGGCCCAGGCAGCTGGACCCCACTTTCCCATGTGGACAGAATGTCTCTGACCCACCCCGGCTGGTGCAAAAGCACTGACACACAAGGCCACCGGCCACTTATGAACAACGTGGCCGTATCAGGAAATCTGGGAGCGAAGGGAAGTCAGTAAAATCACCCAGGCACACGCGTGCACACCCATAGACACACACACACACACACTCCTCCTGTAGAGAATCCCTTACCATACTCTGATCTGAAGAAGATGAACAGCCAGGAACCCCCTGCACACAGGAGTAAGGATCAGGATTCAACATGGACCCCACGGCACTCTGGGCCCCAGCATGGAACAAAGCACATATTCAAGAACCTTGAGGGTGACAGCAAGATTTTATCTTCCACTGTGATGAAAAGTATAATCCTCACTCTGTCACTGAACTCACAACTACACCACCCTAAATCAGCTCCATATGGATCCCACACACCCTGGAGACTTCACTGTTTCCTGTTGTAAAAAAGATTCCCCTTCTCCAGCAGGATGCGCACGTGGGCCCTGTCACCTCCCTCGCCTCCCCACTGTCCTCGTCCCCCTTGTGGCCTCAGCCTGTGCATCTGTGTACAAGTGCTCAGCTTCGGAAACTGTACACCAAATCCCAGAACTGTCACTGGCCCCAATTCCCTGGCAAGGCCAACCTCGGCCTTCGGCAAAAAGCCAGTCAGTGGTCGGTTTTACAGGTTCCCCAGAGCCCCTCAATCACTCCAGGACAACTTTGCTGGTAGAAAAAAAAGCTCCCCTGGGTCTGGTTAGAAAGCACTGCCACTTCCTTACCTTACTGATTGGCTTTGTGACATTTCCAGACCACAGAAGCCTTGGGAAAAGAACGTGGCCAATGCAAACACAGGCCTCCCGAATCCCCTGCCACTGTGCACCAAGTGCTCACGGGCCCCTTTTCTGATGGACCAGGACAAGCCTATGTGGCTCCCTATACAACCCAGGCCCACCTGGGCTCCCTGTCTAAGTGTCCAGGGGGCACTGGACATGGGGAGAGGCTGGCATGAACCTTCCCAGGAACTCTGAAATTTCCAAATGATATTTACATCTCTAATGACATCAGTTTACCCTTCTGAGTATAAAAGTATCTGTCAATGCCAGCATGCAATCCCTGCCGCTCCTCTCTGCTAATTATAGCTCTTCCCAGGCAGCCAGCCACTCCAGCCCCAGTACAGGAAGCAAATGGCCTATTTGTCAAGCAGGACAGCTTCAGCTAAACAGGGCTGGGGCTAGGGGAGCACAGCATGCCCATTTGGGGTTACAGAGAGAAAAAGCGTGCTCCTGGCAGCTCACAGGGCTTTGTAGCCAGGGAGCATCTTCTACAGGCTACAAAGGAGACCTCTCACCCACGATGACCTGGGTCCCTTCTGAACCCTGGCAGCCTAGATATCAACTTCCTCCTATGCAGGGGCAGGCCCAGCTCTGTGCAGCTGCTGGGAAGCCTTCCAGCATCTGTATGTCCTTCAGGAAGCATCTGGTTACTGGTGGCCCACCCGTATGCTTAAAGGTCTGTTTTTACCTCAAAAGGCATCAACTGGGCTCTGACTGTGTTCTAAGCTCTGTGTTAGGCTCTGTAGAGTCAGAGTCATAGGGATCAGAAGGCGACATATGGGGGAAGGGAGACTGAGAGACTCTGGAAATGATAGTCCTATACATGGAACTCAGGGAGTCGTGGAACCAGACTGGAGGAAAAAGGCATCTCTTTCATTTCATTCACCTCTGCTGCTGTTTGGCTCTTGAATGTCTTCCAAAGGCTCATGTGCTAAAGCTTGGCCAACCCTCAGGCCACCCCTGAGTGGTGCTATTGGGAGGTGTTGGAAGCTTTAGCAGGTACAGCCTGGTGGGAGGTCTTCAAGGCTTATCCTTGAGAGGATGATGGGACCCTGGCCCTTCCTCCTCTTTCTTGCTTCCCTGGCATCACCGTGAGAACTTTCTTTCTGCTTCAGGCTGTCCCATGATGTGTTACCCAAAAGCAACTGGGCCAGTAGGTCATACATTGGAAACTCTAAAACTGTGAGCCAACAAAAATGTTTCCTCTTCATAATTCGATCAGCTCAAGTATTTGTTACAGTTATGTAAAGCTGACTAACATACTCTCTTACTGAAACATTTCTTCCAGTTGGAATGTGGGGAACAAACTAAGGAGGTTAACAGCACCTGTGACTTTGTCTGCAATAGAAATCACATTACAGTTATTGCACAAGCCTTAAAGTATCACTAGTAATTCTCATTCAATGTTATAGCAGTATTAAATCCAATAGTAGAACTTGGGATTTAATGCAGTGGTAAAGAATCATGTTAAAAAAAAAAACAGAACAGCATTGTTACTGATTATAAATTTGGTTTTACTTCATTTTAATCATTTTATCTCAATATAATTGGTTTCTTTTGGAAGGTTGTACATCTACTTTCATGTATTTAAATATTTTGTTGTGGTATCTTGTTCACAGAGCCAAAGGGGCTTCTGGAACAAAAACTGAAGAAGCCGTGGTCTGTGTAAAGCAAGCTATATTTCCTGCCATGGAGAGGAGCACAGGGCTCTGGAACTGGCATGCAAGTGAGAAGGAGATGTCAGAACTTCTGGACGGAAAGCCCTAAGACCGGCTTCGTTCTAGGAACATCTCACT